AAAAAAAAAAAAAAAAAAAAAAAAAAAAAAAAAAAAAAAAAAAAAAAAAAAAAAACTCTTCTATCCCTTTTGAAAAAGCTTCACTCCAAAGCAGTTACACATACACGATATATTTTTCTAAACATTACGCAGTTTTTTACTTTGAAAAATTGCTTCCTTCATTGCTTTTGTGGGCAAATTCTCTGATTGTATTGCTCATGTGTTTGCAAGTAGAAACAGATGAGATGCAGAAAGGCAGACAGGAAGACCGTGAGCGTGGACAACCTTTTTTAGCAGTGTACTCAGTCACTGCGCTACGGGTATTCCCTTATTTGAAAGTATGATGAAATTTTTTAATTCGCTTAGTATACGCAAAAAAAAGGAGATGCAAAGTACAAGACAGTCATGCATGCGAGATCAAAGTCTTTATAGAGGTAATGTAAACAACATTAGAATTAGTGCTTTATTATTTCGCGTTACGTCGTGTCTGTGATGCTCGAATTATTCATGCGTATGGGATAGGACAAAAAATATTTGCTTTGAAGTTTTCTGGTGCCGAATAAATATTTACTACTTGCAAACGAGCAAGTGACTTGGCGAAACGTCGATAATGATAGGTGAGCTTTATTTGTCTAATTCGATAATTTTTTGAGTTTACTTTTTCGCGATTTTTCTGTACGTATGTCTAAATAGATAAAATTAGGAATTAACTGGTTTGTTTCCTGATATTACGAGCTCTACGCTTTGTTAGTTTTTAGAAAGTATCTCGAAATAATCGGCGACTCATATTGTATCAGTATGGTGGGCATGTGTGATTTGTAACTTTTTTTTTCACGAATGATGCATGTTTTTGGGGGCAATATTTTTGGAGATAATATTGAGAAATCAATTTAGAATTTACGAAAATCGTATACTTTATTCGCATAACAAATATATCTTTATAAATCTATTACAAAATACAGTAAAGTATATTTCGTCGGCGTAAAACAATGCACTTATACAAAACAGATAAGACAAAACAGCAAAGGTCTCCGTTTTTTCATTCGAGACTTTGTGTGTGTATTTTATTCATAAAAAATTGTTTGATTGATTTTTTTTATTTTTTATTTAGACTCCCGGCATATATGTATTTATACCAGCGAGTGCTCCAACTGCGCCGAAGAAAAAACCCTTTTTTCCTTAGACGCTGTTTTCACAAACAAACAAAAAATCATTTACATGTCATTTAGTTAAACTTTCAACGCCCCTCGTTGCATTCACTTGCGCTAAAGACAGTGTATACTTTTTACAATGATGACGTGATTATTTTTGCTCATCGACATCCACACAAGCTCATCGTTCCTTCGTACATATGGACAATGACGCGTCGTCGGCCCTGCACTGCATCCCTCCTTCTCGGTTAAAGCTAATGTTAGTAAAATATTTGGTATTTCGATGTTGTCCACGATAAATTAGAGCTGGCAAGAAAGTTTCGTGCTGTGGTGAGAATACCGCTACTGCTTCTCTGTTCTTTTAGTAAATTACCGTCGATGGACATTAGAAAAAAAAAAAAAAAAAAAAAAAAAAATCGCAATCCACCATTGCGTTTTTCCATCCGTTTGCTTCGATTTTTTTTTTTCCAGATGCTCACAGCCATTTGGGAGGCAAAAAAACCACACGTAACGTCGATCGAGACTCGTCGCTCGTTGCTGCGAATCAAAGTACAATGTATCGAAAAAGCCTTTTTTGTTTTCCTTCGTACAGCAACAACGATCGTAATTTTCAATTGCTACGCAATTTTTTTTCACATTATAATATAAAAACATGAATTTCATCGCACACGTATTATTATGTATAAAACAGTATTGCGTGCACGACGCGAGACAAAAACAGGAGCGAAAAATAGTGTACCCTGAACAAGTTCATTAAAAATTATAGTCGTTTACATTAAATAACTTACATTAGCCGAGCTATTTCTCAAAACAATAGATAAAAACCTCTCGGCCGAAGTCGAGGGCTCGATAATCCCTAAAAATCACCATCCAACGCACAAAGAGTCACCAGTTGCACTAATACCCCGTCTACGATGAAAATGTCATCCTCGCTTTGACGCATGTACACGCACTTGCGCATCTAAACGTGCGCGCAACGTTTGGAGAGAAAAATAAAAGTGTTTTTCATACCAACGATTTGCAGAGTATTTCGTTTTTCCTTTTTCTTTGCGGAAAAACAAAAAAAAAAAAAAAAAAGGCAAAAATGTGACAAGCCGCGCGTGGCCGCTCCACAGAGATCTCGGGGGAGGTGCATTTATCGCGATGACTTGAGCTTCCAGCGCAGAAATAGGTAAGCGGCGATTCGCAGCACCACGAATATCAGCAGCAGTGCCAGCACGTCGAGTGTGAAGTCAGCGTTTTCCATGTCCAGTTCCTCGAGGGTGACTTCGGGCTTTTTGAAATGGCAGTATTCCTAAGATCGATCGGAAACAAAAAACAAAAACAAAAAAAAACCTCTGATTATTATGATTACCGAGATGAGACGAGTATTTTCACACCGACCAACGACGCGCGAGCGGGAAAAAAACTCGTCAAACAAAGGGTCGTCCACCTACCTCGAAGCACTTGAGTTTTCTGCGGCCGAAGGAGTAGGTGGCCAGGGCAGTGCCCTCAAAGCCGTAGCGGATGTAGCTCAGGTAGGTGATCCATCTGAGGTAGACGGGTATGGCGTCGAAGCTGACGAAGAAGCCGGAGAACAGTAGGAATGGCACCGACATCACGGGTGCCAGGAAAACCCCGTTTTGCACGTTCATGGCTGCCCCGACGACCAGACCAACCGATTGGGCGACGAACGAGATCAGCAGGCACGTGCCCAGGAACATGCTGAAGCGGAACGTCTCGGGCGGCTGGCTCGTCAGGAAGTAGACGATCGTCACGTAGAGCACGCAGAATATTGCCTGGGGCCGTTATTTGGTTGCAAATTAATTTTTTTTGGCCTTTCATCAACAGCGACGTAGGTTAAACGAAAATTGGCTCACCTGAAACGGTATGTCCGATACCGTGATGGCCAGGTAGTACGACTTCAAAGAGTACCACCGGTTGAAGTTTTCCTTCAGCAGTACCGGCATTTCCAAGGGGACTGAAATCGAGAATCCACAAGGATTAGTCATAGAAATGTGCCATTTTTAGGTGGTTATACAATGACCACGTGACTTACAAGATAAAATCGTGATCGTCATGGAGGTGTACATGAGAAACAGCATGTTGAAGAACAAGAAGCCAAGATTGCTGAGGACCTTCGAGGCATCGTTGCCGATGTCGTAGTACAACGCGCCGATCAAAAGTCCGACCAAAATGTGGGCAAACAGTCGAAGGTACATCAGAGTCTAAGGACAATTGATTTCGACGTGAATTCGACGGCTACTATACGATTCGTTCGGTTAACCAATGGAGTGTGTACACTCACCCAATCCCTTCTGCTGAAGAGCAGTGTACGTTTGAGGACAATCCAGAACTGCTTGAACTCGGACGTCGGGTATCTTTCTGGGGTAGCCTCGAGCGAGTCGTCGAGAAGGGACGTCGTGACGTTGATGTTGTCCTTCTTGTCGGTCTCCAATGTGACCGCGACTTCGTCTGCGGGATAAAAAAAAATACAATTGTGCGAAATGTCAAGTACATCTCTTGACTACTATTGGGATTGGCTCAAGTTGTGTTCCCCGTGGTAATCCTTACGAGAACCATGGGACTGCCAATCCCAATCAACGCGAAGTGGACGAACGAGGATAATCCCCGAAACACTCGCAGTCAGCAGATGATTCATCATCAAGGTACACAAAAAAGAGCTGCTATTTAGACGCCTCGAAGGAAAAAAAAGTTCGACGCAAAAGTATCATCGTCGCAAGCATCGGAAAAAAAACTCACTCTGCTTGGAGATGTCGTTGGTAGTGAAGGTGGGAATGAGAGCACGATTGCTCTTGTCGTGGACCTTGGCCTCGCAGAACTTTTCCTCGATGTTGATGGCGTCGTTTTTGTCCTTGGCGGCGCCGGCCGGTGGCGCCGGATCCGACGGCTCGGCGTCCTTGTTTGGCGTGTTGTTCAGCGACTCCTTCTCGGGAAAGGGATAGCCCTCGCGCACGTCCTGCTTGCCGTTCCTGATGGCGTCCACCAAATTCTTTATGTTGTCGCCGTACTCGCCGCACGACACCTCGATTACTGTGGTTGGTGCAGGGGATCGGTTATTCAAAGATCATGTACGGGGTAAACTTATTTTTTTAATGGATTCGTTTAACTCTAGTTCATTTATGATTGTATTTTTTTTCACGCGTGTATACATTTTGAAGATTATTGTATGCCTTTAAAACAATCACGTGGTCACTCGAATCCAATAAAATGGCGTGACAAAAGATATACATCAGTTTTTTTTTTTTTTTTTTTTTTTTTTTTTGATAAAGAAAAAAATATGATGGACTATAAAACTAAAGGTACGACTTACTGAAGGAGGCAGGGTTGTGATAGCTGGGGCAGTTGAGACCGAGTGAGCAGAGGAACGGTACCAGCTGGGAGGTGGAACCTTGGTAGACGCACTGGCCCTCGGCTAGGGTGTACAGGGCATCGAACATTTCAAACAGACGCGCGCTCGGCTGGTGAATCGTGCAGATGATGGTACGGCCGCCCCGGGCCAGGGTCTTTAGCAGCGAGATGCACTGGAAGCAAGACGACGAGTCCAGACCACTGAAAGACGACAACATAACAATGTGGTTAGTTTTTTTCATTCGTTGGGCATACTCTTACTAAAATAAGGTAAAAGTACCCCATTGGAACCCCTCCCCCCACTCGAAACAGTTCATAAGATAAGTTATCTTGAGATTTTTTTTCATGAAGAATAAAGAATAATTTATAATGTTTTGAAACATTTCAACTATGAAAACAACAAAAGTAATTGATGATTTTATAGTGTACTATATATGAAAAAAAAAAAAAAAAAAAATTGGGTACAGCCGCTCTGGACGGACACATATTGAATCGTAATCTTAGATATTGCAGCTCTGTATCTGGCCAATGAGATGATATTTGTTTAGAATACCCCTACTTAACTTATATAAAAATTAAAAATCTTTCAAGTACTACCGGAGAAGTGAGATCACCAAGGATGTACATCGAAATTGAAGAGCAAACCATCAGATGGTTTTTTTTCCGCAAGGACCAATACGCATCAACTCTTTTTTTTTTTTTTTTAATTTATTCGGGTGATAAATTGTAAGTTACTAAGCTTGAAGCTAATTGCCCTAGATACTCCTGGCTTCGCGTAATTCACGATTCGAAAAATGAAAAAAACTCAGTCAAGACGATAAAACACGTATACGGATGGAAATTTGTGAAAAATTTAAAACCCACGTAAACAAATCTTCAGTAATTTATCACTGGCTGGATAGCATAATTGAACTTCTTTCACACAGGCCTAGATTCAATATACTATTCCAAGGGTCATGAATTAAACAAAGTCAGGTAATGTACTCGCTGTCGAGGATACACAAAGATACGCGCTTTTTTGCGATGGAGCGAGTTACCGGATACAACAAAAACCAGTCCCCGTCGAAGGGAAGCGTTCAAAGATCGCGGAATGCACATCATACAAGAAGAACGGCCGTGGTGCAGGTCAGCCGGTTTTGATAAATTTTTATGGGCTGTAAACGCGAGCTTTAATGCACGCATCTTGACAGAAATAGAGAATATACTTTTATTGTCGTTTATGGGCTCATCGAAATTGGCTTGAAACACTGATGAAGTTATGTATACCATTTTGTGACTCTCATTCGATCTAAATCGGTTCGTGAATCAGAGCCTAAAAATAACCCTACGTGAAAGTGTAAGAAAAAAAAAAAAAAAATTCTAATTTACCCTATTTTTCATGAAAACAAGATGTAGAAACCTAATATTTTTATAAACTTTAGTCAATTTCTGGAGATACCACGATTTTCTCCTGTTTTCGTCGTAGTAGGCGTGGTATTTTATTTTTGGCTCCTTTGATTATCAGAGTTAAAATCTCAATGACGCCGGAAAGCTCATCGAGAATCCAGTTTATTTATTAAACTAAAATATGTTTGGGTTACTGTTTTCTGTTTCCGCAAACAACTTGCGAAAATCATACATTGTGCCACTCAATAAAAGTATATTATTTACCAAAGGATGTTTGCAAAAACTACGAAATATTCCACCTTATTCCCAAACGCAATCGTCATATTGAATGCACAGGAAATTAGCTAATAATATTATGTTACGTTCGACAAAATGAGCACCTATTATTTTCATGGAGCCTTACGCCCGAGTCTCACTGTCCTTTCACGTAATAATTGCGAGTACACCTGCTTCCTGTTTTCGTTCCTTGTAAACGATACACCGCGAACGACAACTTTGCATGTAAGCACATAGTCATGTGCATATATGTGCTGAGACAATTTTTTATTGAGTATAAAATCATGCGAGATATACGAAGAATTCGGTTCGATGGGTTAAAAACGGTTTGCATGGGTAAAGGATACTATGCAAATGGTTGCTTTTTTTTACCTTTTCCCCAATAATTTACGGAACAATCATTAAAAAAGATGTAACGTAACGTATCGACAAACGCGTTTCTACTACGATAACTTGGTAAAATAAAAGAAAAAAATTACTAGTGGGTGGTATGAAAAAATACGATGAGTTTTATTTGACAAGACCATCATCCTCCGAGTGCCGAATGGATGTATGTACTGTAAGTAAAGGTGTATGAAGTATATTAAGTCATATACACTTAGTCATTGCACGCCTCAGCCTAAATTACAAATTCGACGTCAGACGCTGATGACTTTGACTCTTTTTTTTTTCGCATGTCTGTACATAATATTATATACGCGTGCATACAGCACGACGAAGGAGGAATTCATCACTCTGGTAATAAGTGTGTGTTGTATGTGTACATTGGTTGATATTTACGTGAGTTTTCCTGCAGCTGAAATATTCTTTTCTTCGTTTTCTCCTTTTTGAAATTTTTTTTTTTCTCTTTTACGATGGACGCACACGAAGGATGAATTTATTACGCTGCATGATTATTTTACTGATTTCTAAACAGTTTCAATACAAAATTTTTCTTCAAAGTAAAATAAATTGTTTTTGCTGAAAAAGATTTTTTTTTATTCATTACTATTTGTAATAAAATATTGAGAAAATTTTTTTTCATGTCAGATAAGTGCAATACGTTTGAAATCATTATAAAGATTAATTAATTAATTTTTCTGTTACTTCGACTATTTTTTTCGTCTAAATTATTTTTCTGTTTGAATTGTAAAGGATTATTTTTGCGAAAAAATTTTTGTGAAGTGCCATGTTATAAGTTATAAAAAAAATATTCTTACCACTAAATAATGCATTAAATTAAAAAAAAAATTACAATTTGAAAAATTTTTAACAGAGATTAAATTCTAATTGGCCATTAGTATACATATTTTTGTTTTAATTTTATTGTTTATTTTATTCATGACTGTTCAGAATTTATTATAAAAGTATTATTATATTGGACGTCTTATTTTATTATTATAAAAGTAACAGAATATTAACTACAAAAATTTTTAGATCGTTGCTCCAATAGCAGAAATTTTTAGGAATTTTGTCCCAATAGAAAACAGTTTTTGTACAATAATGTTTAGGTACACAAAGTCAGCAATATAATACTTTAGTTTCAAAATAACTTTTCATAGTTATTAAGTTGCTCAGCATTTGAACTTTACTGTATGTTGCTTTAGTGAAAACTCTTGTGACTCTTTTCTCTGAGTAAGGGTTTTTATTTAGCTTTCAAAAAAAATTGAGGGACCGTTTACTTATTAGATTCCATCTCATTCATTTGAAAACCTCCTCACAGATATCAGCTACTCAATGAATGCGTGCTCGAAGCGTTTTGTTCCAAAGCACTCTTGGATTTACCGTGCTTGGACCCAAAAATGGCACCATTACTATATCCAAACTTATTTATTGAAATTTTAATGGAAATAAAGCATCATGGAAATTAAAATATAAGGAGCAATTACCTCGTGGGCTCGTCGAAGAACATGATGGGCGGATTGTTGACGAGCTCGAGGGCTATGGACAGCCGCTTCTTCTGTCCACCGCTGAGGTTCGAGGTCATGGTTTTTCGATGCTCGGCGAGGCCAAGCGTCTCGAGAATCTCTTGGATCTAAACATCGTGACATACACATATCACATGCAAAATGACTAGCGTTAATTCAATGGCACGAAGTACATTATCACTCGCGACGACGCGCGGGCGCGTGTTTTTTTTTTTTTTTTTTTTTTTGCGACGTCGCAACTTTGACTCGAAAGATATGTATTCAAAGTCTTTTTCATTCACTCGCGGATATTACAATCAAAAGAGGGCCGACGGAATGAGTTCACTCTCGCCTTGGGCCTGAATTGTTTTGGAAAAAAATGCATTTTTTTGTTCCTCGTAAATTCTCCGATTCCTCCGCGCAGAAAAAAAATCTGGAACTTTCCCGCATTTACCGATATCCTTGAGTTTGCGATCGCGAAGATTCGCCGAGAATCGGAAAATTTGCCGACAGAAGCGATTTTCCCGAATTACCCTAAAAAAACAAAAAGTACCGCACTCCTTTTTCCTGCGTACAAAAATATTATATCGATAAACAGCGTCGCTCGAAGGTCGTCGGACAAAAAAACAGCGCAGTCGTCCACTTTGGCTCATTTGTACACAAGCAAAAACAAAAAACAAAAAAAAAAAAAAAAGAAGCGAAAACTCGTTCGCGCAACAGCAACACACTTACCACTTCCTCCTTCTCCGTTTTTTCGACGTGCCTGCCCAGCTTAAGATTCGCGGCGACTTGCATCGCTTCCTGCACGGTCAAATTGCCGTGCAGCTGGTTGTCCTGCATTATGTAGCAGGATAGCTTTCTGAAGGCACTCAAATTCCTCTCGTGGCCGTTCATGGTTATGCTGCCCTCCGTCCCGGTTGTTCTGCAAAACAAATTTTAAGTATGATTATTATCATTAGAGAATATCAGTGTTTTGCTTGTTGTGCTTGTAAGAGCCTTTTTGGGTGTAATTTTTCTTTTTTTTATTACTGTACTATCCAAATTATTTGTGACAAATAGTAGGTCTGTTTTTATTTTAAATAATTTTTTTAATGATTCCTCCGACGTACAAGTGACTGTCAGCTGTACGTGAAACGTTTCATCAAGTTGATTTGACGTAACAGCAAAAAAATCATCAAATTACGTTGATACTCTAATCATCAACATTCCACCGTCAGCACTATCGAGGAAAATTTTAAATATAACAGCCCATCGCTTGTTCCTCGAGTGCATCTATCTAATAAATGTACCTACTATGGAGAGAAAACTCGCCGAGGGAAAAACTTTCGCATGCCTGTGTACACGAGTATATCGCGAGAGTGCACACGTTTCAATGTCAAAAGTTCACGAAAAAAAAAAAAATTGACACCTCTTTTTTCTCCTCCACCAGAGACACCCGTGTGCTTTTCATCCTCTTGATGCGAAGTTACGAGTGTGCTGGAAATTGAAAACCGGTTTTGGCGGAATGCACGCGTATGGTTTTGCATCGCACGCGAAAGAGGACGAAAGACGCTGTTGGTCCAAGAGCTGATTTTTGCATGATTTTCTCTTGCTTTCGGAGAAGTCATCGCCACCAGTCGTTTTATGAAAATACAAGCAACAAAACGGTGAAACACTGCTAAGTGGGAAAAAGTTGCCCGTGTGAAAAATTTCAGCAAAAAAAATTGCGGAACAATTTATCAGGTTCCATTACTGTGTCTTCGAGTATATTTTTTCCTTTTTTTATGCATAAATTACTGTCGCATTAATATAATTCTTATTTCGACGTTATTATTTAGAATTATCATTATTGTTGTATTAAAAAACTGCAGAATTTTCCGCACCATTTTTTTACGCGGGTGACATAGCTTTTCAACTACAAATTCACAGTCGATACTCAAGTATCAAGTCATGGTCAGTTTTCAAGACCTCTGGAGGCTCTCCTAATCTGTATAATTATCTAGATTATTTTGTTTTTTATCATTATGATATGAAAATCTCTTTTGATAGTTTTTTCATGATTTCTTAACAAAACTCCCCTAAATAAAACGTAAAATATTATATATAGTTGGTCACCAACTGAAGACTGGGGACCCTAGCGATCTTGAAAACCAATGATTTGTCCACTAGAAAATGTTGGGCGAACACAGGTTATACAGACATGTAAGAATATGTGTTTCTAGTAAAAGAAACTTTGTATTGATCCAACAAATTTAATGAATGGCAACTGGTACCCAAGCATCGGCTTTATTCGGGTCTTAGTGTATTGCTGCATCGGTTGCTGTAATATATTTTAACGATACTCTAATGCAACGCTGTAGAGTAAAAAAAAGCATGCAAGAACGCCTTGACACACAGTCGACGTCTTAACTCTTGGCGCGAACAGTCCTAATGTCGATTCCTCGCTCATACATGGAAACGTTCGTGCACCTAGATCTTCGATTTAGAAAAATCGGTGACACTTGACAACTTTGCTGCATTCCTATGGTTAATGACTCTTTGAGTCTTTTTAAATGAATATTTTTATTCGGACTTTAGAAATTATCATTTTTGGTGTAAAAACTACGCCATCATTACAAACACATCCATCTACTATAAATTTAATCTTGAAAAAAGTTGACACTTTCGGTGAACATTTTTCGAATAAAAGTTATATGCTAATTTTATCAGTCATTCGCATGTAATATGCTGAACAAGGGCTGGTTCTCTTTGTCTTTGCCTTTTATCTTTACATCACTATATTCAGGTGGTTCGTACATTTAAAACACCAATTTCTCTCATGTACGTATTCTAACGATTGCTTAATGCTTCAGAAGTCATGTAAAACAAAATATCATCATTGTAGTCAAAGTCATAAATATTACACAATAAAATATCGATGCAAATTCAAACAGACTTGTATCTCGAAATTGTTGTAAGGAAAAAAAATTCAAGATGTTAAATAATGAGTTACTTCATCTACAGTAAATGTAACGCCTTCAGTCTTGAACGTAACTCCTTCTAGGGCTACATGCCATTTCTGCTAATAAGTAGATGTCATTTATTCTTGCGATAATGATACCGGCAAATGACTTATTACCACTAGGATAAAGGTCACCAAAAATATCAAATTTTTCAGAGATTTCGACATATAACTGAATAAGTAGCCATAACTCGACAACTGCCGCTGCACGGAAAGATTTCGCCGATACTCTCGAGATTACACTCACACGCGGGTAACCCGTCACTCCCGTATATACCTACGTACATAAACTTCCGGATGAAAGTTAATAGGTCTCTCTACACGGTACAAGTGTGTTACGCTGGTCTTGTTGTTTTTAGCACTCGCACTTTCTAAAGTAAAATGACAATCTCCGATTCGAGAAACGAGTGCTCCTTTTTTCCTACCTCGAGCATTTTTTTTTTTTTTTTTTTTCAACATTTGGACGTTTACTTAGCTGTCGGTGGAAAAAATAGCGTTTTTTTTGTTGTCACTCTGGAGATTATTTTATAAATAACTTCAATGACGATGAGCTCGAAAAATATATACGCTATACTCTTCACCTTCGGTGGAGAAAAAGCGTGATCGTAAATTTGACTTTCGATTCAGCGAATGGTAATTCGCACTTTATGCACTTAAATACGCGTTTTAACATTATAATCGTCCCAGAGATAAACAGCCATAAACTCCGAATATTGATCCTTGACGGTACTCGGCACGAATAATCATGGAGGTGTATGTGTACAGATGGATGCATCTCTCGAAGTGAGTGTGTACGTGCGTCGGTGACCTTAAAAGAGACACGTCGAGCCGAGTCACTCAACTCTACCTTCGATTTAACGACCCCGTCAGGGTAAAGCGTATATAAAACGCAGAGTCGCACGCGCTCGCGTTCGGGAGGAAAAAAAAAATTCTCGTCTTCCCATTACTTCGAGTTTTTTTCGTTCCCTTCGCTTAATGTCGCGTACACGTTAATATATGTGTTTGATTGCAAAGCAGCTTCTGCTTCTTTGGTACTCGTGTATATACGTGGCCATCGCATCTTCCATGAGTGGGTTTGGACGCGTGTATTTTTATAAATTATATATGATTCGAGTGAGTTATTGCGCGCAAGTATTGTGCGCGAAATCGTTTCGTATGCCGTAAGCGAGTTTTGAATTTTTATTTGCACTGCAGTAAAACGGATTACAATATTACCGATGGTTACGTCTGAATACTTAGTACATGAGTCATTGGCTGAGTTTAAATATGTGAATCATTTATTTTTTTAAGAAAATCTATTTTTTCTTTTAGAGAACAATTGTACAATTGTACTTTTGTGATTGTGCGTACGATTAAGTATTACTTGTTAAATGCACTGTTTTTATGACCATGAGAGAGATTGGGAGTTGCACGAAGCTGATTATATGGAGATAAGTCTGTTGAAGGGGTTACAGGGATATTTTGTTTCGTACAGAAATTACATTTTCACATTTCAGAAAGTTCAGTTTAATACTTGTCAAGGAATTGTAAAGTTTTACGATTTTACATGGGCTCTTGTGCAGGGGTGGGTGTCAAGTGGTTTTAAACGAAACGTTTTTTCTTCAAACTCGGTTGATTTCTTTGAGAAAAAAAAAAAAAAAAAAAAAAAAAAAAAAAAAAAAAAAAAAAAAAAAAAAAANAAAAAAAAAAAAAAAACATCAAACGTAAACGTAACCATAAACATCTTTATGACCGTAATAATGATCAGTAAAAGCTTTTGTTACGTTAATTTTGTATCGTACGTAACACTTTGGATATCAACAAACTAGGTTAAAAAGAATCATCACCAGTGATGAAAGACAAAGTCAATGTCACTCGAATGATAACATTCATTTTAGAAATGGACTAAGAAATAATCGAAAATTTTTCGTTTGCTTAGATTAGGTGAAATTAAAAAATTATAACGATAAAAATTCTTGTGAAAAACATTATTCTTATTCTTTTACTTAGGTTTCATCTTTTTCTGTACATGTTTTGGCACCACTTTAAAACTATCCCAGCTTTTTGGTAAGTCACACAGTGTATACACTGATATACTATCGATTATTTTATTACTTTTTTTCTACAATAAGTTATTCCAACTTTATTTTTGATCTAATCCATTTTAAATTTGATCAATGCGTCAACTCCAATAGCTCCTCTATGAATAATAATTTAGAGTCCTGATTCGCTGCTGATCATTTTCAATTTTAGTACTATTTTTATTTTGCAAATCTATCATATCAAAAAACGAGAACTAAAGATTGTAACTGTAGAGGAATTCTCACACGAAGAAATACATATTTAAAAATTAGAAAAAAATAAAGTAGACGAAAACATGATTATTAATATATTTAAAGGGTAGAAAATTTTAAAATAGGATGACCAAATTAAAATAACTGATTATTTATCTACACAATGATGGAAATAAAGCTCACTCCGCTGAATACATTTTTACAATAATTTTAATCAACGCGTTTATTATGTGCAATACTCGCTTACTCGTATCAATAGGGTCGATATTTCAAAATTATCACAGTGACACCGTTAGATAATGCCGGGAAGTTGGAACAATCGACGTAAATGTATGCGTGTGAAATGGGTGCTGGTAAGCACTGCAAGATTCGCAAAAATATCAGAAACAATAATTGAAAATTTTAAGGTCTTTTCATTTGATTACGTGGACATAAAATCATAAAAAATAGGTTTCATTCGAGCAACTTACTTGTATCCCGTTAAAATGTTCAAGAGGGTTGATTTCCCAGCACCAGACGGTCCCATGATGGCGGTCAACTCGCCGGACCTCAGCCTCCCGCTGACGGACTTGAGGATAGTCTTGGAATCTGTAACAATAAAATTTATTCATATTGTTTTTATTTTAGTTGAAGAGGCGTCAATACAGCTTAGGTCAAAGTACAATTATATCTTGAATTAAGATTGCCTTTTGCGTAACTGGAGCCTTTTTATCAGTCGATTGATTGGTAAACACAAATTAAATGGTGTACTTAATATATGCTGTTGTTGAAGCGGTTTTTATTTTAGTAATGTATATTCATTAATATTATTAGCGTTTAAATTAAAGTTAAAGAAGATTTCCAAGGTTTTGCTCGTTTGCAAAGATTCAACGAGAAAAAAAGTGTAATCAAAATTTGTACACCTTTGGACCGTGGGTATGTAATTTAAATTGTAAATTATGAAAACATGCATAAGAGATTATAAATATATAGTTGTAAGCTATAATTACATCAGGTAAAGCGAGTCAACGTAACTAATACATTGAATACGTAAATCACCCACGTTTAAAAAGTTACAAAGAAGAGAACAGGTTTGAGCATTTTTTTTCCATTACACTGTGTTTGGTACATAAATATTAATTTGAGCAAGATTTTTTACAAAATTTTGTCTTTGATTATCAGAAAGAGGAAATTTCCAGACTACGCGATTGATTCTTGCACGTGCGATGTTGCACAGAGGATTATTGATCAAATCTTTTTTTTTTTCAAGTGATTTTGCTAAAATTAAAATGGTTCGCTGTAATTATGTTATACATTTATGTGCGCATTGGGACAATCAGTAAAAATATGCACATGAACTTGTCAATATGTCTTTCTCGTTCAAACACTAATAATTTTTTAAAATTATTATTTAGCTCGCAACCATAAATTCGAGATCAAATGAATAATTGAGAGTTATTTGTAAAAATCCAAGTAAATAAGATTTGAAAAATTTGAACGAAAGAGAGAAAACAAGAAAAAATGGTCGAACGTTACCTAACTTAGGTACAATTATTTTATGGAATTTTTAGTACTTAAAAAATATTTTTTTCTTTCTAAATAAAGTGCATTCTTTATTTTTCACCATTAACAATGTAATACTCAGGGAAAAAATTTTTCCGTAGCGGATAAGTACGAAACATTTTAAATATTGAAGTCTATTTATTATAAAGTATTTGAAATCAAATATTGAAAAATCCTTGCTAATTTTTGTTTTCTCTCAATTGTTTTTCTTTTAACTCACAATACATTAATTTTCTGGAAAAATTTTGTAAAGCAATATGATATAAGTAGTAATAAACAAACATTATTTTTAGCATAAATTATGAGTTACTTGAAGTATTTGTGCTCTGAAAAATAATACTGTGGTACACTTTTTTTTCGCGTAATCATCGTCTTTTTTTTTAACTCGTCCATCATCTGCCTGTACACGAATCCGAAACAACGTCGGCATCGAGACACATGAAAAACATTTCCAGGGTTCAAGCCCGTCGCTCTGACCGATTGCGTTGATTGGATCGTCAAACAATACTACGAACTAAGAGTACAATCGATCTCCCAACAAAAAACACTGGCGGATAACGTTACATCTCCCAACGTTGAAGTTTCGTAACTATGATTTTCCCGTAGTACAGAAGAATCCCCACGAATAGAGCCAGCGGACCAGCAATCACTGCTGATTAGACCGATCTCCTTCTTCCCTCTCTATACAGTCTAACAAAGAGCATATTGTGTACGAGTGATCAACGTCCGATGACGAATGTGCTTTGGTACATGTATATCGTGCGTGTGGATGAGTAACTCAAATCGACGCTGCGGATACATAGCACACAAGTACAATACTTAAGCCAATATTTTTATGTACGCGTGGGTGCAGCCATAGTATACACACGTCTAATGTAGGATGTAAGCGGTAATCTCTCATTATCTCGAAAAGCTCGAAATCTGATAGTCCAAGTCCGAGAATCGAAAAACAACATACAAATATAACCGATATCTTATTTATACGATCAGATACGCAAGTATGGATGTACGTACAGCGTGTATATCGGGTTTAGCATCAAGTGGGTTGATATACGAGTAAATGTTTATCAGCTGATGGGTGGCTGTGCCTGTACGTGTATTGAAAAATTGTACTTGGGTGTAGATGTTTAACGCGGCATCCATCAAGTGTCGGAATAAAAATCGTTTGTCTTACAGTGTGCATATTATAAGGCAACGTGGTAAACTTGTTGTTGTCAATTATTTTTTTTTACAAAAGATATTCGTCGATGAGAAAAATTAGCGGGATAATGCGTTGTCAAGATATTGCGTAAGAATAATTAGAGAAGCTTATTCGCAGAGTCTCATTATCCGCTGTACTGGCGAGAAAAATAATTTAAAAAATTATCGTTACTGCGTCAACGGTTCGATTAGGTCGTGTCGGTTGAAGTCTTTTTTTGTAAGAATCGCAAATATCTTCGGGTTCATCGATGCAAAGCAATGTCACGTCGAGTTGCTGCACAAAGTTCTGTCCAAACATCGATTATTGCGGGCATTTCTTTTGACCTTAATATCGCGATGAGATTTTTATTTTTTTGTTTTGACTAGCACGGCTGGACTTTTTGATTTTTTTTTAAATACTTTATGATTTAAAAAAATCTCAGCTTCCGCGTAACGTTTGTGGCTTTTTGCATGATTCATACATCACAACTCAAATTCTTATTACTCAGATTAGTTCCCGTTAATTTCATCAGAATTGTATATCTGCGTATTGTATATCATTAATTATATATAATTGAGATNTCCATACCATCATTCAATATCATTATAATATCATATCACAACAATTTAATACATTTGACTTTTTAAAAACCCCACCAAACAAACCATGCGACTAGACTTAACCAATCACATAAATAATATAATAAAAAAAGAGTAGAGGCACACTCCTAATATAGTTCTTGTGTACTTCCGATTATTGCCATTATGAATTTCCATTACACCGGCATAGTCAGGCATAAGTGAGGTTTTTCCGAAGTATCTATACATCTCAATAAAGTATGTTTATAAAGATAGTTACAAAATTTTACCCCGGAAATTAAAAAATCGTCTATTAAAAACAAAATTAACTTAAATTAAAGTAAAGAGAAAGGTTGATAGTAGGTTTTATCCATTTTAGCTTTTATCTATTCTATTTGTAGCTCCGGATCATCCAAACCAGTTGACGGAAGCTTAAGAGATAGATACATGTACACACAAAAAGAAAAATTCCAAACTTTTACAACGTAAAATATATTTTTCAGACGTTTCTAGAAGACATTTATTTTTGACCAAAATTAAACTTGAATAAAATCATTCGAAGCTTTACTAGCTATCAGGGTTGTTAACGTTGCTCCAAAAATGTTTAAAAAAAATTATACTATTAGATAAAGCTCATCGATAAAAACAAAAAGTTTTTTATCGAATTTTTATCCAACGCGTACTTTCCAAGATTTTATCTATTGAAAATCATTGAACTCATTGTTCAGGACAAAGCGCGCTAGAACAGTTTTTTAAAAAGCTTCTCAACGATTAATTCTCAAAATTAACAATATTTTAAAAAGTATTGATTGAATTTAAATTTGGTAAAAAACTGTTTTGCTAGTTTTGACAAACTTAATCTTGAAGTATGTACAGTTTTCCTGGATCATGATTTTTGGAACACCCGGTACATTTACACGTTCATACTTTCATACGAATGATAGACATAGCTAATTAATTGATGAAATTGACGAGATACTATTATTACAATAACAAAAGATTTGTATTATTTGGAGCCTCATGTGTTTCAACGTTACACAAACTTTGGTGATTCCAATTTTCGCAGTGATAATTAAAAATATTTTATATCTCAATTTAGATGCCTGTTTATTTATTTGTAAGAAATGACTGCTCAACACGAGTGCCTTTTGTACATTCACCATACAACTGCGGTTGCCTTACATGATAAAGTTTAGTTTTTCGGATCAATTAATCCATCGCTTATATCTGTGAATTTTTATCGATGGTACATTTATTCAGCAAGTATGAAACAACTTTCTACTTTATTGAAGTAGAAGCACATTTATTTCTCTAAAATATCATTCGTTGAGAATATTGTTGCGCAAAAGTTACTGTTTAATAAGGAAAGAAGAATAATCCACATTAACCATTATTATCATGCATTCAGCAGGTGATAGTTAAAAAGATTTGCACTGCCCTCCATTTATACATAGAGATTTTGTTGTACAACTGCACGAAAAAAAAGTTAGAAAAAGAAAAAAAAAGAACTCCAAATCTGTAAGTAAAACGCGTGTGTTGAGCATCTATAATAGTTCATTAATATGCAACTCACTATTTACGTACGTGATCCAAGTCTCCCAGTGACGCATGTTCGAATTATCTATCATATTAAGTGTTATCATTGTTATTCGATCTGAAGCTCGAAAAAAAAAAAATTTTCTTGTAATTGGACTTGAAAGTTTTTTCCGTGCAAGTTTTCAAGTTTAATCAAATGAGTATGGATTTCCTCGCTACATAAATACTCCGGGCTTCTAGCGCTGAAATTTGCTCTCTGGCAAATACCCATCGCGTACGCGTAGCGCACTGTTGTTTTTTCGCATCGATTTCCATCAATTATTTGCATACAATTATACTCTACTGTAATATGACTCTACTGGTGTGAAAATATCGTACACCAAGACTTGTCGCACCTTTAAAAATATACGTACGAATTCTCGCTAAAAAAACTACCCGAATTCGGATAAAAACGATTTAAAAACTCACGGAAAAAATTATAGAGTAGAATCGAAGTGACAGGAATAAATAATAAAAAAGCCAGTAAAAAAGTCAATGAAAACGACGCAGCGCTTTTTCGGACCACGACTTTTTTTTAGCAACAGGTCACGTAACGCGGATCGTCACCACAGGTACACTCGCACACCGGTTATAATCAAATTGTCGAGAGCGGGAACCGCGAACGGGAGGCGAGGGCGAGTGAAAAAGGCAAAAAAAAAAAAAAAAAAAAATGACACGCGTCGGAGGAGAGCAAAATTATTGACAATAATAAC